AGGCAAGCCAACAGCTGTCTGTGACAGTGGTATCCTTGTCTGCAGGCCTAGCAGAGGTGTGCACACATGGGGCGGCTGACTTTGTGCCCTAGCAGAGGATAGCGAGAACTTCTCAGTAGTCTGACTTTCAAGTGCTGGCTATGTTTATTGACCTTCTGACCAGGAACAGCAAATGGGAGACCTCAGATTTGTTCTTTGCTATTGAATAATCCCGTCTGAAGAAGCGGAAATCTGAGCCTTGCAGATGTGTTGACATCTTCTTCGTGCAGCTCCTTCCATTGGCTATGAGCTGTTTTGAGTCTTTTCTGTCAGGCCGAAGTGAAGATGTAGCAGAACCCTGTAATTAGCAGAGGGCAGAAGGAGCCGAGACTGCGCTCAGTCCGTGTGCAGAGCTCCTTTTGAATCAACAAGAGCTGAACGTGTGGCTCAAGGTCAGTATAGATGGTCTTAGATCTTACAGTGGCGTGACATATGGAGTAGCACAAGACTCCCTTATATTTTTCATCCAGTTCACAATAAACCCCCTTCATTCCTCCTGGGTCGTGACCTGGCCACAGTGATTCATGTGTTAGCCACTTCCAGGTTGGGTTATTTTGACTCATGCTGTTTAGACCTTGTCATAAAATTCAGAAGGAAGTCACACGGGAGAAATGACAGGGCAGAGGTAAAACTGGGTCTGTGCCAGAAGCACCACTAGGAACCGATCAAGTCCTTCGTCAGCAGAGCATCCCGAGATCTGGCAGAGAAACACCCTCAGCCACTGTCCAGTGAATCCTATTCCCACTTAGCTGAGTGACTCCATCCTATGTTTGATGCGCTTTTTTTATTAAGGGAGGTCTTCTTCTTCTTACCTAATTTTGGCAGCTGGATCAGTCAAGTGACTTGACCAAAGTCACAGAATGAGTCAGTGTCTCAGACTAAACTGGGGCTCAGTGCAGGTCTGAAAACAGCTGCTTGTCTCCCAGAGCAAAGGCACAAGTGGCCTGAAGAGCCAATACACCTGTGGCTTTTGCCCTATCACTTGGCAGAGACCGCTCTTTGAATCAGAGCGAGGTACACAGCATGGGCTTTATTCCTGCTCAGACTCTTGGAGAGCCAGGTGGTTTGGCACTGCAAAGTTTCCGTCCTCACTGTTGGATGGGTTCCAGACACCAGTGGGAGTGCTGAAAGGGATTATCTGGTGCCTTGCAAAAGAGTGAGGCTCCTAGCTCAGAAATGAGGCCACATCTTACAAGCAGTATAGGTCCTTTACGAGATGTTTCGCAAGCATGACAAGGGGGCTCAGCAGGTAGCGCCTGGGATGCTCTCCAGCCTGGTGCTGGAGTAGAAGTCCTCCAGCACTCAGCTTTTGCAGCCATAAGTACAGACTGGAGATGTGGCAGTTAGAGAGAGTGCTGGCAGGCAGGAGATTTGGGTATGTTACAGCCGTTGCTTCCCAGGCTAGAAAGACTGAGGAGATTTTATGGATCGGTAGTCCTCAAAAATCAATTGTCCGAAAGCCCGGTGAATCATCTCCCTCATCTGAGAGCAGCAGAGAACGGTCCTTAAGGGGATCTCTGCTTGCTTATACCTGGGTTGCAAGGGTGCCAGGTTTCCAGGCTTTGGAAGCAAGATTAAGACTCTGCAGGGTTTATTTTTAGAGGTGGGCAGAGGAAAGTTTGGCAACTGTTGCCATCTTTATGCCCCTCCCAGGGGTCGCAAATGTGGGGGGATAGGAGGTTATTAGAAAAAGCCATAGAAGGGATGGAAAACCTGGCAGTCTTCACCAAAGACATTACTTGTATTTAAAATAATTTTCAGGTCGCAAAGCATTGTATTATTTCTAAGCCTTGTGTTTACAGCAGAGGGTTGGGCATCTTGAGCTGTGTTCTTGTTCCACTCCTGGCTGAGGGTGTGCCTTCACGCGAGTGATTACGTTGCTTACGCCTCAGTTTCCCTTCCTGCAGACCGGAAGGGAAAAAGCTGAAGTCACTGCAGTTTCGAGACCCTTAAAATATTACTTTTTGGAAAGCTCGTAGAAGATTCCTCTAATCAAACGGGCTGGTTTAACGCAAAGTGATGGTGGTAAAAAACAGACCACATCTGTTTTACTTGATTAAAATAGTAAGGCCGCATTTCACATGTAAATATTAATTGATTTTTGCACTGCAGATTTCTTCTCGGATATTTAAATTGTTGCTAAGGAGGAGGGAAAGGCTATCAGGGAGATTAACAAATCCATTATTAAGGCTGGAAATGGAGGGCTGCCGAAGTGCCATTTAATAAAATGTAAAAAGCCCCTTTCTAAAGGGTGAAGCAGCAGAACACACAATGAAAGTGAATCACAGCTGCCAGAAGGGATGCCAAGCAGCAAGCACTTATAATCAGAAAACTGTACTTACAGATCGCTCGGAGCCACTAAATTAAATGATCTCATTCTCCCCTAAAATACTCTTCCCTTAGTCCCTCCCCAGTGTTGCGTGTAGATGGCTCAACCACATCTTTAAATGTGACTTGGGGGCAGGGGGGTTTGGGGTCAGCAGTTGAATAGCATCAGGCCTCTTTGTGCCATTCACTTTCCACCCACATTTGTTTCTATCACATACAAATCTGGCATTTTGCAGGCTGACCTGCCCACACTAGCACTTGGGATGACAGCTGAAAGATTTTGCAAGTCTACTGTGGCTCCATGGTTGGTTTGCCTACCTCTCCAGGGCTCCTTCTTTGGGAAACTGTCCCGCAGGTCACGCTCAAATTTGTCTTCATTTTGCACGAGATATTTTTTTTTTTAACTGTACATTATTTACTTCAGAATCACAGGCTCTAACATGGAGGTTGAGCTGCTGTGTAAATGGAAGAGTTGATCCTACATCATTTCACACAATATTGATCTCTCTCTTACTTCATTCTAGTGCTGCTTTAATTTACTGTGTATCTTTGTCCCTTTATTCCATACCCTCTATGCCTTGCCCGAGTAAGGACTGGGGCTGGCTTTTCGTCAGTGCCCAATGAGGGAGGTATGTCCCTGAAGGTGTTCCACCTTTCTATATTATTTTTTAACTGTCCCACATTAGGAAAAACAAGACAAAACAACCCTCTGAGATTCAGAGATGAAAAGGGCTGTGTAAGAACTGAACAGCGGTGTTATTTTTACCTCCATGAGATGCAAGCCTGCCGTTTTCTGAGGAAACCTCAGAAACGGTGAATCAGCAAAATGCACTTGAAGAAAAGTTAACTGGACTAAATCCACTTTACCTCAGGCCTTCTTAAGCTGAGTGCTGCCAACTCTTGCAACTTTATCATGAGTCTCCTGATATTTGGTGCGCTGTTTAGAGCTGTTGCAACCAGACACAAGTCCTTAAGTGAGAGTCCCAGCTACTTTTTTTAACGGTGCTTTTCCAGCTCCCATTCTTGCAGAGAAGGGCTGGCAGACTTAACCAGTCGCAACCTGAAAGTTCAGAACCACGAAAAATAACCCCAATTAAAGCTACAAACAGTACTTCGAGGGATTTCTAAGTCATTCTCAGCTGGAGGTCCGCACCCTGCCTTTTTGCAGATTTCCAGCGCTCTCCGCTTGTCCCCTCGCGGAGCGCAGGCCAAGCGCTGGCGAGGCTGACGCCGGGCGATTAAACGCCGACGAGCCTTGAGG